CACCATCCACCAACCAACCATCAACCAACCAACCATCCAACCAACCATCAACCATCCAACCAACCAATCAACCATCCAACCAACCAACCAACCATCAACCAACCAACCATCCAACCAACCATCAACCATCCAACCAACCAATCAACCATCCAACCAACCAACCAACCATCAACCATCCAACCAACCAGCCAACCATCAACCAACCAACCAACCAACCAACCAACCAACCAACCAACCAACCAACCAACCAACCAACCAACCTACATGTTCGGTTATGGTGTCCAGTGACGAAGTTGCCTCATCGTAGGCCAAGATCATGGGGTTTTTCAAGATCGCCCTTGCTATCGACACCCTCTGCTTCTCCCCGCCTGATCAACGGAACGACAGAACAAATGATTAGATGAGTGAATGAAGAAAAAAAAAGAGATTATCATCATCGATAGTATCATAATAAAAACAACAATAACAACAACAACGACAACAACAACAACAATAATAATATATTAATAATAATATGAACATTTATATAGCGCCGATTCGCCGAGCTGTTTCCGTCAGAGGCCAGTGGAGCCCGCCTTGAAAAGGTGAGTCATTGGACCTTTTTAAGAAAGACCAAAACGAGGCAGAGAGGAACATCGTCTCAAGTCGTGAAGTGACGCTTGGAGCAGCCACTTGAAGCGGCGACTGGCGAGGAGCAATTTGGCAGTAGGAGTGTTAAGAAGCCCGTAGGAGGCGCGCGGTACGATCTGTCACGTTCGTAGGGGGGGTATGAAATGGTAGGGGGGAAGCTGGGGATTTTGACGATGACTTGGCTCAGTGAAAGAAATCTAGGAGTATTTCATTTCTCCGCAGTGGACTGCGAATTCGGAAAGATTCGATTATTATTTATGATTTAATTATTAATTTTGATTTGAATTCTATTTTGATTACTAAATCTTTTCCAACATTCAAAAAGAACTCGAAGAATATTTCACTGAATCATAATTTATTTTATTTCTTCGAGGACAAATCTGCATTTGCTTTTTCTGGTCCTTCTCTCTGGAACTCTCTACCTACTTCTCTGACTACTTCTCCATCACTTACGAAGATCAGAGCGGATCTCAAGACCCATCTGTTTGCAAAATTCATTGAGGAGCGTTGTTGAACATCGCGGAAATAGCGCTATATATACTGAGTGATTGGTTAATTGATTGGTTGATTGATTGGTTGATTGATTGGTTGATTGATGGGTTGATTGATTGATTGGTTGATTGATTGGTTGATTGATGGGTTGATTGATTGGTTGATTGATTGGTTGATTGATGGGTTGATTGATTGGTTGATTGATGGGTTGATTGATTGGTTGATTGATGGGTTGATTGATTGGTTGATTGATTGGTTGATTGATTGGTTGATTGATGGGTTGATTGATTGGTTGATTGATTGGTTGATTGATGGGTTGATTGATTGGTTGATTGATGGGTTGATTGATTGGTTGATTGATGGGTTGATTGATTGGTTAATTGATTGATTGATTGATGGGTTGATTGATGGGTTGATTGATTGGTTAATTGATTGGTT